TGTGATTCAGTTCTATGATGTAAATATAGTGAGAGAGTTTTCAGTAGAGATATGAAAGCACAGGAAGATTATTTTAGTTATGGGAATTATATTCCAGTCACTTTTGGACATCCTAGATTGGGAGAAACTGTGCTAGTAATAATTAAATCATAGATGCTGTATACATAACACACCATTTTTTCACTTGGATCTGATATGAATTGAAAACCTGTAGTAGCAATAGTAACAGTTGTAATTTGGTTCAGTACATACCTAAGCACCTATAACTAAGCACAGTCCTAGCCAAAAAAAACCCCATTTATTTGTTTGTTTATATTACATTTTTATCCTCTTATTTTTTTTAATAAATAATACTTCTTTCTCCTATTTTTTTCCCACAAGAGCAGCACTGTGAGGTAGATTGGGCTGAGAGAGAATGAGTTGGCCAAGGTCATCCAACCAACGTTCCTGGCTAAGGCAGGAGTAGAACTCATAGTCTCCTGCTTTCTAGGCCAACATATTAACCAGCACACCAAACTTGCTCTCAATAATATATAACTCTGAAAATAATATATAACTATAATTAGCATTAAAGCAATATAGTAATCCATAGGAAACATTTCCTTATGAAACCTTTCCTAATACAAGCATGACTGTAATATAATTTTATAAGTATGGTAAGGAGTGGAATTTCAAGCTTTCTAAATGCCAATAGATCATATTCTAAATGTATTTCAAGGAAGAAGAGTCAAACTACCTACCAAGCAAGGGAGACTATTTAATACAAGGAAAATTGAATTGACTTTGTATATGCAGACAAATGCATACAGGAGAATGAATGGTAATATTATATCCTAAATAACTGGGTGTTCTTATACATACAGCCTGGGAGGTCAGTATCAGTTTGAACTTCTAACCAACCAATGTAGGGACTTGGAAAAAGAAGAAGAAGTGAGGGCCTATCAAGAGATATACAGACCACATGTGGACATAGGGCAGAGTCAAGAAAGGACATTCATGGGGCTTTTTAAACTTTCTTATGAGAAATTAGTTTGGAAATTCTTTATTTAACACGAAAATAGATGTTTTCTGGTTCAATTTAAAAATTGATTGTAGATTCATAATGATCCAAAAACTGTGGTACAGAATATATATATATATATATATATATATATATACACATACATACATACATACATACATACATACATACATACATATATTTATATTTATATTTATATTTATATTTCTTGAACAGCAGATAGCAGGTACAATTAGCACTTTTTCTTTTCTCCCATTTAAATCAAATATTCTGACAAGTAGAACATTAAGGGGAAACATTCAACAAACCTCATTCTACTGTTCGTCTAGTAGTTAAGCAGCAGCATAAAAACCAGGAGACCATGAGTTTTAGTCTTAGACATGAAAGCTGCCTGGATAACTTTGGGCCCATCACTCTTTCTCAGCTGATCTCACGAGTTCGTTATTGTAGGGCAAATAGAAGGAGAAAGTATTAGATATGCTCACCACCTTTAGTTATTTATAAAAAATATCAAAGATGGGTGTATAAATACATAAACAAAATCAATTTCTACATTCACCATAGATAGCTATGAAGCATTGGATGGATTAACTTGAATTATTTATATCAGCCTTTCCCATATTGGTGCTTTCCAGAATGACTAGAACTACTAGGATTCAGTCAAAAACTGGAAGGCACTTGGCCTAAGAAAGTTTGCCCTATCAAAATTACAATTAAATAATTGTAGTTATTTCTATTTGTTATTCTTAACTGACTCCAGAATCTACAACAAAAGGGATGTTTTCCTTAATATCTATCTAATCTATTCATTGTCTACATGAATTTGACACTTTAAAAATAAAAACATGATGCAGCTCATATTCTTTTTTCAGAGGATATTTGTATTTGGTAAATAGGAACTAATAATTGAAACTTTGTGATAGAAATGTTTAAATTTTAGGTTGTATCCTATCACTACCTGGGTGTAAATAAGCCCTATTACACATCACATGATCATACAGGAATGTACTTGAAAAAATTAAAGGAGAAATATTAAACTTTGCATGACAATTCATGCTCAGGGTTTGGAAAAGGATTACAGTATCTATTTCTTACATGTAATTTTCTGCTTTGGAAATATATGGTTAAATTAAATATGTTTTATATGCAGAACTGTGTGGTGATTAAATAAAAATAGAACATTAATGTAATGTACAATATTAAATCATCAATATGCAGCTATACATTAATAATGATAGATATACATTTTGCTGAATGCAAAAAAAGTATCTGTCTCCTAGATTTATGATGTGCTGCCTCCATATATCAAAATTAAATGGTAACTTATTTATATAAGTATGAATTCTGCTTTCAGAATGAAATATAAGCAATTCTTGGAGTAATCAAGCATAGCTAAGTATTTTCACGTTTAACTATATTTTTCAAAAATCTGAATTTGGTTACACATTCCCAGATGATAAAAGAGTTGAAGTAAATAATCAACCTTGGTTCCAAAGGCTCAATGGGTTTGTAGTATTATTTATGCCAGAAAAATCATAAAAACTGTTATAAGATCAACCTCTAACATTGAAGAAAAGATGCCCAGAACCTTGCTAAGTTTGACTTTTAAAAAAAGGAACAGGAAAAAAAATCAAATTTTCTAGCCTTGTTTGGAGATACTATGAGGCATTTCCTAAGTGAGTTCATATAAAAGTACATTGGTAAAAGTATGTGATTTAAGTGAATAAAATCTAATGTTTCTATCCACCAATAGTAAGATCCAATGGATACAATCCATTCTGAAATAATGCAGCTATCAATAGGTAGCAAATGGATAATTTTTGCCCAATTTAACTCTTACTATTATTCTAGCAATTTCTCAACTTCTGTAACACATTTTCAGAAGGAAAGGACATGCTTGCAAAATTGATTCTTTACTCTTCCCTCCAGTGGGATCTGTCACTGGATCGAAAATCAGAAGGAAAAAAAAGTATTTCCATCCACGGGAGCCAAATTCTGCACTTAACTGAAATCACAAGATGAAAGAAAAGAGAGAAAACCATGAGCATTCTATGGTAGTTGGAAAATAAACCATTTTTATTTAGAGAGACTCTTCAGCTTTCCAAAAGGGACACAAAATGACCCAAACAAGCTTTTATTTAAAACAGCAGTGAATAAAAAGGGTGTAAATTAATAAAAGGAGACTGTATCATCATTACTGACATCCTGTTGCTCTGAATGTCAAAATCAAGAAATCAATTTATCCTGACTCTTCTTTGGAAAGGAAACCAAAATGTTGTTTCCTTTAAACCAATGTTTTTCATCCTTTTTTGTGCAAAGGCACACTTTTTTCATGAAAAAAATCACNATGTCAGCCTCTGTTTTGCTGCTTATTTCGGCTGCCATTGAAACGGGGAAGGGGGGGACATGGTATTTGGGTGGGGGAATTGTTCCAGTGCAGGAGTGACTGTAAAAAAGGAGTGTTCGCACCATCTACTGCGCATGCTGCAGATAGAGGAGTTGCCGCCAAGGCCAACTGTCCGGCATACCAACCTGATGATGATTTTTGAAGATGTCTCCCACATGACACCTGTGGGGTGTATGGACTGGACTATGGGATGGGGTTGCCAAGGGGAGGGAGTTGGGCCACATATTGATATCTATGATTACGCACGCTTTTGCCTCAGATCTTGCTTTGCCTAGCTACTATCTACTTATGACCAGTAAAAGTACTCTTAATTCTACAGAATGGAGTTGAGTGGTTTCTTTCTTGGTTACTGTGGGAAGCAGCCCTGACAGGTATGAGCATTAATAAAAAATATGAACCTGTGAAAAATCTAAGATCACAAAGAACAGAAAAAAAATACAGAACATTCACGATCCAGAGGGAGAAGATCATTTTCTGATGCTCCAGAGTTTTGGACCAAGTCTAAGAACCTGAAGTTCAAGGAAAATAAAAGGTTGCTGTAGTTGAAATAGCTGGTGCAGTCTCAGATTTGGGGGTCCATGGGAAAAAGGAAGGATCTCACAATGTCTAGTTTTACAACTAATTCATCTATATTAGTGTTTTTCAACCTGGGCTACTCAAAGAAGTATGGACTTCAACTCCCAGAATTCCCCAGACAGCCATGCTGGCCAGAGAATTCTAGGAACTGAAGTCCACACATCGTCAAGTTGCCAAGGCTGAAAAACAGTGATCTACCGTATTTTTCAGAGTATGACACACTTCCCCCGCATAAAAGAGGCTGAAAATTTGGTTGCATCTTATATTCCGAATGTAGCTTTTTCAAAGCTTTTTTTCAGCCTTAATGAGGTGCTAACGAGTGAAGTGATCTTCCATGCTTTGCCTGCTTTTCTCATGGCTGTGCTCTCCCACGTTAGCGCCTCATTAGGGCTGGCATGGAAGATCAGTCACTGGTTAGCATGTCATTAAGGCATACTCACCCCTTTAGATACTGGTACATCTAAGTGAGGCTTGGAACAGTAGAGACAAACAAAATTGAGTCTGTGCTTCAAAAACAATTTCTTTTGCAAATTGTGGCTATCTTCTTTGAATTTTCTCATTGAAGTATGTCCTTCAATTTTTCTATGGAGCAGATAATTTGCTAGTATTAATGCTCCAAGTTTCCAGAATAGAAATAGCACCAATCATGCTGCTGGATGATCTCAGATAGAGTTTAGATAGGGAAGTGTACTCCTTTTTGGTCCAAATAGACTTCTCACTTGCCCTCAATAATGATTGTTTGTAATGATTGTAAGTGATAGTTAATCAGTGTATGGCCTCACTTGGAATACATAATCTAGGGGATAAAAAGCGCATGAGTTCAAAACCAGCAAACCTATTTGCTGAAGCTGACCACACTAAGGACGCTAGTCAGATGAATACCTGGTAGACAGATTTTTTCCCCTCTTTTCCTCCCCAAAAACTAAGGTACCTACTTATACTTCGAAAAATACAGTATATACAAAAAATTGTAACACTGAACTTGCGCCTACTTACCTTCATTGGAGGTGGCTGTTGTCTGAAAGTGGCCGTTTGCCTCGTATCCTGTTTCCGGGCCACTTGCAACTGTTGAGCAGCTGCTGCTGCTGCAGCCAAGGATTCTGGAATTGGAGGTTCCTGTGGCTCCGTCTGCCATTCAGCTTTCTGCTTTTCAAAGTAACTAGACAGATCATAAAGCCAAAAAAAACAACAACATCCAATTAGGGCTGAAAGATTTAGAAACCAACCAGCTCTTTTATTTCACTTCTATTTTTGTAGAGCAAATAGAATAAGCTATCTCTAGGACAGTGTTTTTCAACCTTTTTTGTGCAAAGGCACACTTTTTTCATGAAAAAAATCACGAGGCACACCACCATTAGAAAATGTTTAAAAAAATTAACTCTGTGCCTATATTGACTATATATAAAGTAATTCTAGGCCCTAGAAGAGAGAAAGGAGGACCCAAGCAGTGGGGGGGGGGAGGGGAGGGTCCCCTGCCCNGGCGGGTGTTTTTCCCACGGCACACCTTACACTATGTCACGGCACACTAGTGTGCCGCGGCACAGTGGTTGAAAAACACTGCTTTAAACAACACTTGGAAGTTTTGCTGGTATTATTGATACAGCTAAAGCCATTAAACTAAGCAAATGCTGGGATCTAGGTTCTCTAAATATTGTGGAACCCCAAGTACAACATCTAAACATGGCTGCTAAAGTTGCTGGGAATTGTTAGTAAATAACATTTGGAGATGTCCAAGTTTCTCACTAAACTGAATAATAGGTATTTCCAAGGGTTGGAGTAAAGGATAGAGACTAATTCCTAAAGCAAACATACAAGACTAAACTGAAGTTCAAGATCTGTGTTTGTCAAAGATTCCTTTTTATACTTCTTATAAAAGTTTTGATCATGCAGATATCCCTGTATAGCTGACTCTACAGTATAGACATAATGTACACAGACTTCATATAAATAGGGCTTAATTACTTCCAAGCCATCAATGTATCATCTGGACAAATCAACTCAAATAATTTTCATTTGCTTCTTCAAAAAATAAATTCAGTAAACAAAGTATATCATTACAATCCCTTGCTTTGAACCCATATTAAATATTTTTGCCTTTCCAGCTATTTTATCAGTGTCCAAGACAAAGAGTAAATAGAGATTCTGGAAAGTGTATATAACTCCCAGACCAGAGTTTCTCAAGCTTGGCAACATTAAGGATCATGGAGTTCAATCTGCTGGCTAGGGAATTCTGAGTAGAGATTCTGGAAAGTGGCTATAACTCCCAGACCAGAATTTCTCAATCTCGGCAATATTAAGTGGAGTTCAATCTGCTGACAGGTGAATTCTGAAAGTTGAAGTCCATATATCTTAAAGTTGCTCAGTTTGAGAAACAGTGTCCTAGCCTTATGGCCTGCTTTTAAAATCATTTGCTAATCTTTACCTTACTGTGCCCTGATTCTCCTGAACTGTGAGTAATTAGTTCTTGCTGTTTATCCCCAGCATTCAGTTACAGCTTGCCCTGGTCCTTCACAATTGAAAATGAAAAAGAGCTTCATTCTAAAATCAATCATAGTTTTATTTCACTATTTACCCCCATTTTTATCATTTCATGTATATACTTATTGAGCGTCTTGTCCATTTTTGCCTGAATCAAGAAACCAAGTCTCAATTTAGACTTCCTTAAATTTAAGGGACTTGTGCTGAAGGAAGGAAATGTGTTCTATGATATATTGCAGGAGCGTCAAACTCGATTTCATTGAGGGCCGCATCAGGGTTGGGGGGCAGGTCCTGGGGCATCACTCATGTCAAGGGCGCCTGTGGTGGCCCAAGCGCTCTGCCAACGAAAACGGAGACCAGGAGGGCCGCTCCATTTTCACTGGCAAAGGCACTGCGGGCTGATTCTTCACTGTTTCTAGGCAGCCCCATGGACCAGATCTAAGCACTACATGGGCCGGATCCAGCCAGCGGGCCTTGAGTTTGACACCTCTGGTCTAATGCGTATCCACTGTTGTTTGCATAGATGATAGTCCTTTGCTAAATTACAGTCCATTAGAAAACTATGGCACTAGTATTTTTTTTTGTAAATGTGGCATCAATAGTTTTCATAGTTAGTGTTTATTTCCATTTTGCTATCCTATTTTGGTATAAGGTAATGCATTTCACCCACATATAGATAAGTCAAAAATGCAAATATTTGTACTTTCCCTTTTTCCCCCCATTCTAGATTGATCAATGGGCAACAAGGAATTACTATAAACAGCTATAGTTCAAGATCATTTTTAAATTTCAACAATGTGACAGAAGAGCATTTTGGCAACTATACATGTGTCGCTGTCAACAAATTAGGCACAACCAATGCCAGCCTGCTTCTTAACCGTAAGTCCAGAAAAAATATGAGAAATGTTCATGTGGTAGGTTTCTTTTTTCTTCTTATCTCTCCTGAAGGGGGAAAAACTGTAATAGTTTGTGTAGTTCATGTTCTCTTTAGAAAATTTCTGATTTATACAGACTTTTCTGAGCATTTTTGCATTTCTTCAATAGATGTGTCCTGGGCTGAAAGTATATCCTTAGTCTGCTCAGTTTCTACCTGAATCTTGAAGCCAAAATGTCTTGCAATGTGATTACATCAGACCTTAGGATTAATTCAAATCTCTGGCAGGTTCATACATTGCTTTATGAGATATTTTTCAAGATGTAGTCCAGTAATGAGCCATTAGATCACTAGTAGGCAGGCATTGTTTGGAATTCCTAAATGTTCTTTCATATACAGTCCATCTCATGGCATAATAATAGTACATACATCAAGATATTCGCAAAGACCTTCAGCTTTTCCACCTGCTGTCCTGAGCAAGGAGAGCTTTGACGGCACCAATGTGGATTGATCACAAAATAAATTGTTAACACTTCACAGCATAGTTTCATAAGTGAGGGTAGAATGCTGGTGTACACTAAAGCAGTGGTGGGCCTACCGTAATGATGGTCAAAAGTTTTAACAATAAAAAGTGTGATATTAATTTTGAAGTGTGAACTCTGATACTGTAGCTGCTGCCACTTGCCATGTTATATACTTTATGTATAGCTCTTTTGGAATTCAATTAGTTGACAATAAGCAATTGACTGGCACATTTCACTGAGTGTTACAATAAATAGAATCTGATGGAAAAAATATTGCCTACCACTTTTAAATTAGACTTTGATTTCTTAATTAAAATGTGCATGAATAAAATAAAGCTGGTGATACATTAGGAAGATACAACAAATAATTGAGTGGTTGGAATAGAGTAATTAGAAAAGCTGCCAATACTAACTAAGAATACAGAGTCCCTGTTGGCCAACTATCTTTATTCCCCTGCAGTGTTACTATTGGTATATGAAGACAAAGTGATTTTATCATGATTCTGTCACAAAGCTTGCTGCAGCCCTGAAGCAACTGTTTCTGTTAATGTAGAAGACAGCACATTTCAGCTTTGGCAAAATTCCTACTATCTCAGAATCCAGCTAATTAACTGCTTCTGTTTGTGTTTCTTTAAAAGAATTTGAATACCTACGAAAGAACAACAGAGATTGCATCTCCTTTCACAAATTCTGTTCTAAGGATGTAAGATTATGCAGTCTCTGTGGTACTTCCAATGTTAAACAACTTACACGATGAACCTTGTTAACGGCAGAAGATTGAGTGTTAACTCATATATTTAAAATATATTTCTGACATTCACAGTGTAATTATGCCTGGCTTGTAAATTGAGTGCTGGGACAAAGTGTTCTGAAATAATAATAGAATATAATATAAAAATAAGTAATGAAAAATTGGTGGGAACATACGCATTGAAAAAGTCATCAAAAATGACTTTATATATATATAAAGAGAGAGAGAGATAAAGATAAAGATAGAGATAGAGAGAGAGAGAGAGAGGGAGGGAGAGAGAGAGAGAGAGAAACACTGTACTGCTAACAAGGACATACAAAACCTTTGCCAGACCAATCCTCAAATACAGCTTTTCTTCCTGGAATCCACACTGTATTTTGGACATTAATACAATCGAGCGGCTCCAAAGACATTTCACAAGAAGTGTACTCCACTCCTCTGCTCACAATAGAATACCTTATGCCACCAGGATTGAAATTTTGGGCTTGGATAACCTTGGATAACTCGCCTACGGTCTGACCTAAGCATAGTACACAAAATTGTCTGCTACAACATCCTACCTGTCAACAACTACTTCAGCTTCTACTGCAATAATACACCGGCAAACAATAGATGCAAACTCAAGGTGAACCGTTACAAACTCGATTCAGCAATAGAGTGGTCAATGCCTGGAATGCTCTACCTGACTCTGTTGTTACTTCCTCTAATCCCCCTAGGTTTAACCTTAACTGTCTATGGTGTACCTCACACCATTCCTAAGAGATCTTTAAGAGGCGTGCATAAGCACACCGTCATGCCTACCATCCCTGTCTTACTGTCCCCACTTTTTGTACTCATTTCATGTGCTCAAGTCATGTTTATACTTATAACTGTTATCCCGTACATGTTTGACAAACTAAATAAATAAATAAAATAAAAATAAATAGTTTTTAGTATCAGATATTTTTTCTGACAAAACTGAAAAAGAAATGACCATTTTATTTGCTATTTCGGAGAATTCACAACATTACAGAGTAGAATTTACCACTATGAAGTCAGAACACAAACTGAATCTCAGTATTCTTGATGAAGCTTAACACGTCTTAATGCCTAGAGCAGTGATGACGAACATTTTTTTGGCTCCCGTGCCAAAAGCGGGGGCAGCACAGGGAGGTCGTGCGTGGGCATGCCATACCCATAATGCTATGCATGCAAACCCCCCTCCCCGTGTGCATGTGTGCCCGGCCAGCAACACACACACACACACGGCTTTTGGCACAGTTTCTTTGCCCTCCCCAGTCTCCAGAGGTTTTCTAGCAGCTTGGGGAGGGCGAAAACAGCCTTCCCCATCCCAACCCCAGATGCCCTCCAGAGGTCTCAGGAGCTTCCCTGAAGGCACCAGAGGACAAAAAATGGACCTAAGGAAAAACTAAGGAAGTCACTTCCGGTTTGCTCGTAAGGCCGGTTTTTGCCCTCCGGAGCCTTCAGTGAAGCCTCCTGAAGGCCCCCGAAGCCTCCAGAGGGCAAAAAATGGCCTCAAAAGAAGACTGAAGTCTTCTTTTAATTAACAG